TGGCTGTGTCAGGTCAAGCGCTTCTGTCACACATTTCTGGAGTGTTTCGAAGCGTTGCTAGCATGCGTCCGTCCATGCGAATTTCACATCCTTCCTTAGGAGTTTGTTTAGTGGAGTTGCAATCGAGGAAAAGCCTTCAACGAAACATCGATAATATCCATCTAATCCCAGAAAACTTCTCACTTCTCGAACATCCCTCGGGACTTTCCATTCGGTAATGGCATATTTTTTGCTGGGATCCACTTTGATACCTTCTTTCGAAATCACATGACCTAGAAATGTGACTTCGTCAAGCTAGAATTCACACTTGGACAACTTTGCGTAAAGTTTATGTTCCGTAGTGCACGAAGTACTACCTCTAGATGTTTTGTATGGTCTTCTCGATTTTTTGAGTATACAAGGATATCATCAACGAATAAAACTACGAATTGATCTAGATAGGGTTGGAATACACTATTCATGAGATCCATGAATACTGTAGGAGCATTGGTCAAACCAAAGGGCTTTATAGTGAACTCATAATGACCATTACGAGTACGGAATGCAAGAAATGAGAAGGATTCAGAAGCTTTCTCTCTCTAGCCATGGCGAAGAGAGAAAGACCAAATAATAACCTTAGAAATCCACAGGAGAAACCGAATCCATCGCCGGATAAAGCAAACGAAGCTAGTTCATCTCATGAACCTGGAAGGAAATTAGAGGACCAGGTCACTGAAGAGAAGGACGGGGACCCTTAAGACAACCCAGAAATGGTTGAGGGGAAACCCAAATCCTATGCTAAAGCAGTAGGATATAAGGACGAAATTAATGCGCTTTGAAATTTATGGAACCAGAGGAAAAAGATGGAATCCGATATTCTAAGCTACTGGACGAAGATATTGATGAAAACGCTACATATTGGGAGGCTGCTGCAGTGGTATGTACCCTAGGATCTAACCCTTCTTTAGGTGTTATGGAAGGATATATTAACACACTACGGAAATGATTTGATGTTCTGGATGTTACCTTCCTCAAATATGGATAGTTTGTAGTCAGATTCAATTCAATAGAGGAAAGAGATGAAGCAGTGGCAAAGGCCTATTATGTGTTTGATAATAAACCTCTCTATGTTAGAAAATGGCTACCTGGATCTGAAGTGAATCTCTCTAAACTGTTGGACATTCCCATCTGGGTCTAGCTACCAGAACTGAAATTGAGATTTTGTAGCCTAAATGCCCTAAGCAAAATTGGTAGCCCCATTGGTAAACCAATAAGGGTAGACAAACCTACAGTGCAAAAAAGCAAAATGCGCTATGCTAGATTATAGGTGGAGGTCAGGATGAAAAAAGCAAAATGAGCTATGAAAACATACACAATCACTTAATAACGAATTCTAAGAAAAATGGATCAACTTATGGGGTTAAGAAGTCCAATATCCTTAAAATCAACAAACACAAACACAACAAAGAATCACGTTGAATTCCAGAGTTTATTAAACTACCTTATGGAGCTAAAATAGCTTCAACAAAAACCGAATTCCACATATCAACTTAATTATGAAATTGAATTATGCAATTCAACCAATTCAATCAATTCAACAACAATTTGCTCAATAATTGAAGAAAAACTAGTTTGAATCAATTCTCATTCATAAGGGATTTAATATAAACATAAAAAAACCCATAAAGAACACCAACCATATTTTTGGAATTTTGAAAATTAACACATCAAGCAAAAAAAATGTAAAAATTGAATCTAAAACAAACTTTTACAAAGAATTAGATAAAAAAATAAAAATTGACAAATAAGGGTTACCAATTTGTTGAAGAAGATGAACAAATTGAGAAATTGGAGCTTGAAGGAATATTGACTGATGCTATTGCCACCAGATCTGCCATTGCCGGACGCCACTTTCGCCGACGTGGCCTCATCGCCGGTCGCCACTACCGCGGCTTGAGCCGCAGCTCTCAAACTTCGTTGTTCCCCCCCTCTTTCTTGTTGCAATTCGTCTTCAATTTATACGAGATTAGGAGCGAAGTACCTTCAATTTCTTCCCGTTAGAGCGTGTGGGTGAGTTGAATGGAGAGACGTTGGAGAAGATATGCGTTGAATGCTTCGCCGGTCGCTCGTTCCTCTCTGCATTGAAGAAACGCCGTACTTCCTATTTTATTATTTCTTTGATTGACCAAGAATGGGCGGGCTAAGCACTTTTTGATAATGGATTTGGGCTCCGACCCAAATGTTGGAACACACTTTGTACGATAAACTAAAGTCGTGTTCATTTCTGACAGGTTTTGATAATTGCCAAACCGCCGTGGATATAAAGAGTTTCGTTGAATAACTCAAGGCGTGAAGAATGGCTTGGAACAAGACCTAAAAGAATCAAGGACAAGATCAAGAATTGAAGACTTAGTCGAGTCGGTCTTTTGTGATCAAAACCGACAATATATTCAAGTCTCGGTTCTCAAAAAGTCAAAACAATTTTTACAATCCATAAAATATTTTTTGTGCATCAAAACAAACATTTTTGATGATTTTTTATTGTTAAAATCCCTGGTCCTTGCTCAGAACCAAAACCACTTAAGTCGGCGTTCGGCTTTCGATGTTCGGCTTTCGGCGTTCGGTTTTTGGCGCCCGAACCAACTCCGTGGTTTTCAATATTTTAAACCCTGTTTTTACCACTGAGCATTTTTAAAATTTTTCCAAATAATTATTTTATAAAAACCACTTTTGTATCTTGGTCAATCGGTCTAATACGTGAAAAACGGTCTAAACCGTACGTACGTATTATACGACCTTGGAGACTTGGTTTTTACCAAACAAGTCTTGTTTTCACTATTTAATACCATATACAATATTTTCCAAACCTGGTTTTTACTTTTGGAAACACTTCGTTTTTGGACCTAGTGTTAGAATAAGTGCCCTTTACTAGAGGGGGGTGAATAGTGAGGCACAAGAATGTTTATAAATTTTCGCGGAATAAAAATCGCAGGGATAAAGTAAAGAGCGGAATAAAAAGGAGTAAAGGGAGCACACCAAGATTTACCCTGGTTCACCACAACTTGTGGCTAATCCAGCCTCCCGAGAGACTCTCTCGAGCTACACTACTTCCGTTAAGCTTACGGGTGCTTAACAAACCATTACAACCTGAGA